TGTAAGCCTTGATATTTTGATAGATTACACTTATCCATTCTTGGGGATACTCCTTTGGATCTTCTTGTTGGATTTTTATTATATAAGACGAATGATCAACGGAAATTCTTCGTTACCAATGAATATTCAGTTCTAAGGTTTACTATTTTATTAGTTGCGATAGAGGAGTCACTGGAAGCCTTTTCTGCATTTGAAAAAAGACTACCGGTATGGGATAATATCAAGGATGGGTTCAACTTTAACAATAGAGAAAATGTGACGAGTATTAAAGATAAATACATTTCCATTGCAAATAATGCGGCATCTATTATTGAATTTATAGATTTTCGACGCATTGATGCTAAAATTCTCATAGATATTATCGAGCCGTTGGATTTGATTTCCCCTAAAAAGTTAATGGAGGCCTATCGATTTCATAGTTATGAGACAAAATCTCCTTCACACTTTCGTGGGATTCATTGTATTACGTGGGATAAAGGTGGCTGTGGATCGGATTTAATTATTAGCTCCGACGGATATACAGTTTCACATAATGGTAGTGAGAATTTTCAAACCGTTAGGACAAACTTTTTTATGAATACAGGAGTTCATAAACTTTGTATTAAATTCGAGAGTTTAAACCGCGGAACTGCTGAGTGGTTTGGTATTTGTGGTGAGAATTTAGATTATTCGAAATTTTTTGGATATCAAAGTAATGGTTGGGCGATAGGTTCTCACAGTCTACAATTCCATAATAATACTCGTACAAGTACAATTATACCATCATTTCGCAATGTAGGCACTGAGGTGATCATGAATTTAAATATGAATTCTAGAGTATGTCAATTTTCTATTGCTGGGAAAAAATACGATGCGGAGTGGATTAATCTTCCATCAAAGTTGTACTTTGCTGCGGCCTTAAGCAAAGGAGGAAAATATAGGATCATATCACTATAAGTTATAATTAGGATATTATATTAGCGAAGGAAAAATTTAGAAGTGTCATTTATGTCTTTTTCTCGAATACAAAATTTAACATTTTAAATCTTTTATTGTTAATTTAAAAATCAAAATGAGAACAAGATATATTAGACATATTTAAAAGTTTCTTATAGTGTAACATATTTGATAGTGGAAAAAGTTGTTCTATACATAGTTTTTCGGTTTATTTACGATTAAAATTGACTGGTAAAGTTACGGTATAATTACTTGGGACGATTTCAAATAGAAAAAAGCGACTCGAAATGATATGCCCTATACAGTATTACTGAATAATTTTGTTATATAAATTTGGCTACACGGGATCAAACTTTTGGCATATAATGTCGAATATGCGATCCACGGTGTAATCTCAAAACAATAAATCCGGTTCAAACACAGATTTCTAAATAATTTATTTGAATCATTAGTTTTCGATTAGCTTTGATGGAATGGTAGTGGGGAATGAAGAATTACATATACAGTATATATTGTAGATATATAGTATACGTATAGTAGTACATAAAAAAAAAAACTCTTTCTCGCAGATCACTGATTTCTTAAAAATTTCCTTTTATGGTAATTTTTAAAGGAAAAGAAAAAGCGAATGGAGAGATGAGTTCACAAAGGGAACTGAGAAGTAGACACTTACAAACAAGATCCAACTATAATGAAAACATGTTGGCAAAAGGAAACACAAGAGTTACATGCAAAGAATCCAATACACAGCTTCCAAAGAAGACAACCTTAGACAAGGAAAAAACAACCAGCCAAGTAGAACTCAAGGCAAACGAACAGGAAAACAATATGAAGAGAATGCGCTACACCACAGAGAATGGAAAAGAAGTTGAGCAGACAAGTTTTTCTGTGATAAAACCCCAAGCACAATGGAGCGAACAAGTTGAAGAAAACTTTTAGCAAAATAGTCAAAATACAGCAAATACTTTTATTCCGGAAAGGGAAACGGAACATAAAACCACTGTAGCAGCCTCCACAAGGGAACTCCAGGAAAGAAATGAAGAAACGGAAGCAGAAGAATATCCCATAGAAGAGGACTTTAAACCAGGCTCATCCACGAACACAACAGAGTATAGGAAAACTGCTTATCCATGTAATAGATCAGAAGAAAACTTGAATTCCTATCACAAACCCAGGCCAAGATCCCCATTCGATAGAAGCACTGAGTATGGCAGAGAAAGAGTAAAAGTCAGTATAAAAGTTAATAAGATCCCAGGAAAATCATCCACTCAAAAAATCATATACCTGACAAGAAGCCTCAACTCTATCAAAGACTTGATCGCAATCCGCAGTGAGAGAAAAAATGAAGATGAACATATCATTGCTATATTTGGAGACCAACAGGCAGCTGACGAAGCATGCAACACAATCTTACCTAATACTGATCATAAACATCTCGTACATATGGCAAACATCTCACCAGAATAAAAAAGGGAAAACAGTATCAGAGTATGGGACATCCCTTTAGACACAAAATTCATTAATGTACAACAAACCTTTTTTAAATATGGAGCGATCACCAATATCAGCATGTCTATACAACAAATGTGACAAACTGCAACTATCACTTTTTCCAGAAAAGAGGAGAAAGATCAAGTCGTAAAGAAATGGAGCATCCCCATAAAAGCAGACTCAGTCAGAATCTTTGACACACAATGGTCCTTATCACAAATGAAAGACTGAGGCACTATCGCAGGCAAACTCACCAACTTACCATCAAATACTACAGCCTTTGATCTACATCATATCTGTACATAAAGCAAGGCAAAAACATGTTACATTCCAAGATACATGTCATACAAAAGAAAACACTTCGCAGTAATCAGTTTTGAAACACAGGAAGAATTAGAGGCAGCAGTAGCACAAAACTTTCAACTTGGTGAAACCATTACAGAATAAAAACCTATTGAGACCAAACTATATACCATATGTGGCAGCACAGACCACTTAGTAGCAAAGTGCCCATCCAAGGAGAGAAGAGCACAATGGCAACAATATCATCACAAACAAGCAAACAAATTTGGGAAATTATACATTAAATATAGACCAGCATGGACAAGCACAGTTAGAAACCTGACAAACCCTCCTAAAAACAAAAGAATATGTCCAGGCTCATATGCAGCAGCAGTCAGACAGAACCACATCAACAAGAAAAGACCAAAAGATCAAGAAGGACATGACACCCTCAACAAAATCCTAACAATCCTGAAAGATCTCCAAAAAGAAATCACAACTATCAAAGAAGACATCGCAGACCTTGATGAAAGAATCATGTTTCTAGAAGGGGAAGACATGGAGACCACAAGTCAAGCTGAAGAGGAACCAATTCCTTCAACAAGCACAGCAACAACACAACAACCAAACATGACAGGAAACCAGCGAAATAGCATTCAAGTACAACAATAACAACTATACTCATCAATCAATAGAATGGATAACAATATGAACAGAGTTCTCGAGGTAATCACTGGGCTCATATCAGGAAACACAAAAACATCAACCCAACAATAATAATATGGGAAGCACAATAAGCACTTTACCCGAAGAAGAAAGCAGTATCAAAGATATCCTAGCCCTTCAATCAATCAAAGAAATTCAAGAAGACAATATAGAAAATATAGTAGAAAACCTTACCGTTCAACTCATCTCTTAACAAGCACCACACAACAATAATAAAAATCAAAATATAGCAAGAGTAGAGAAGTTCCAGTCACCAATTTGGAAAGTAGCTATCCTCAGCTGTCAAGGGATTGTAGAAGAACATAAAAGACAAACTTGGTTCAACATATGCTATACATAGCAATGAAGCATAGTAGTCACCACAGAAACGAATGGCTTCTCAGCACAATCAAAGTATTGGAAACATCCCAAATACCACATAATTTGGATCCACGATGAAACACAAATGATCGGACAAGGTTTAAACCTAATGATACAGAAAGATATTGCTACACACCTTTACAGTTATCAAACATGGGAAGGCAGACTAATCTGAGCAGACTTGTCTTTCTCAAACAAAAGAAAAGTCCAAATTATCGGTATCTACTTCCCAGCAAACCCAAGATGTGAAAAAAGACAAAACACCCTAAACATCTTAGTCAAATAGATACAAGAAGTGAATCAACAAGTCTGGAACATTATGGTCTTGGGAGACTTAAATGGTACACTAAACCCATCACTAGACAAATTCAGTAATAAAAGACTGACCACCTCAAACAAACCATTAGGTCTTCAAATAGAGGTGCTTCTAAACAATAACTTAGAAGACACTTTCCGACTCCACAATTCACAAAAAAAAGAGTATACATGGAAAAAAGAAGATAGCAAAAGTCGAATTGATCAAATATGGATCAATCAAACCACCACCTGGCAAAGTAGCAAGGCTACCATCAAGGATATGATAAATTCCCTAATAAGCAATGATCATATTCCTATGGTAACGGAGATCGAAGTCTGGAATCTAAACACAAGAAAGAGAACAATACACCATAAACTAAATCACAAGTATAATTGGCATCTTACCGGTGCAGAACAATGGACAAAGTTCTTCAGTGAAATTGAAGAAGGTCTGACTAAACAGCCTATAATACAAGAAACAACTGACCAAAAATGGAACGCTCTTTGCAATCACATCCTCAAAGCAGCAAAAAGACATATTCCCAAAAGGAAACACCACTGCAAAAAGAGAATATATCTAGATACACACAAACAGGAGGATCCATTGATAAAACTACAAATGTGGAAAAACCAAATCCGACAAATTCATGGAGATAACACTCTGGCTGTGATCAAAATACCAGAACTAATAGAGAATCACTTCCCAGACCTGGTGGCACAACTCAGAAAAATCCAACAAGAAGATCC